AAAGATGTGGGTAGATCTAACTTTCATAGGAACCCTAACCACCCCCTGGCCGGTCGGATGCAAATGTACATCGAACGTCTAATGCAATCACGACTTGAGGCCACCGATGACGCTTCGCGGAAACGTGGATTGCCAAATGAACCTACTGACGGACTTGACAACGCCAAGCGGGCACGTCTCAATGCTTTGCCTCCTCCGATGCTTAAGATTCCTCCAATGGCACCGGGCCCTGCAAGCTTTGATCGACTTTTCACCTTGACCGAGGACACTGGACTGTCCTCCTTCGACGTGAAACAGCTGCCAATCGATCTAGTCCTCAAGATTGTTGTACCTCTCTTGTCGCAGGTACATGATTCAACGCTTGCACAAGCTGCCGATGTAAGTACTACCATGTGAGGGGAGCTCTATTGTTTGCTTACATATCCCTAGGCTGTTCGTACTCGGTATCAGACAATTACCAAAGATCAAAACTTGCAACGGCAGCAGCAACAGAGAGCAGCTGCCCAAGATGAGGAGGATGACTATGAGCCTGAATACCAACCCATGGACGTAGCATCTGTTGTTTCAGAAGAGGCCAGTGCCGTTGCGGCGGAGGTAGCAGATCTTCAACCAGAACTTGTCTCTTTGGGTCCCTTTGTCCTGCCACAGCCACCTCCACTGAGCGAAGAAGAGGCCGGGGAAATCGGACGGAGTGCCGTTGCCCGCGTATTCGGGATGTTAAACGCAGCCGAAACATCACCTGCGCCTGCCAAGGGCCAAACCCAACAAAAGCTCGGGTTTGCCAGGTTAGCCGGCAGTACTTTTGACCGCGACGCATGGTCTGTTCTTCTTGCTCGCTTGGCTACACGGGCTCCTGCTGGTCTCGAAAATGACCAGCAAAACAAGGGAGACGCCGTACGTAGGCAAACAACCATTGCTGACTCGATCCGCGAGACGCTCTATCGGTTCATCTTGGAAGATTTCCGAGGACGACTTAACATTGCCATTATCTGGCTCAATGAAGAGTGGTATAATGACCGAATTCAAATGAAGAGTGCTGCCAATCAGCGTGATGACCCCAAGGAAGACTCGGAGCCTACTGTGGCTCTCAATTATGATACCTGGGCCACCCGACTTTTGGATGGCTTCCTGGCTTATTTGGACTCTCGAGATATCAAGGTGCTAGTCCGCTTTCTTAGTGAAGTCCCTGAGATCACGATTCCCATCACTCAGCGGGTGGCTAGCTTGGCCAAAGATCCGGAACGTGTGAACCTTTGTGTTCAATCATTGATGTATGTCATCGTCCGTTCTTTCCACTATCAAGAACCCCCTTACTGACTTTCTTTTAGGTATCTGATCATGTTCCGACCTCCAGCACGAGAGATGTGCTTGAACACAGTAGAGGATGTCTACCAGACATGTAAGTATACTCTCTCCTTAATATCTACTGGTATTATATATCTAATATGTGACCAACAGACGAGGAATCCCGACCTGCTGCAGGCAAAGTCCTCACCAAGTGGCGCCCACAAAGTACAGCTCTGGAGACAGCCGAAAATGACGCACCAGAAGCATCAGAGACAAATCCTACGACTTCAGAGACATAAACATGTCCTTTGTACTGTTTGATGAAAAGAAGATGATGACATGAGATCCTTCAATTTTCCGCAATTCTGAATGCTGGGGATCATTAGCATCATTTTTCGGGCATTATTTTTTCATTGCACATGTCTTCGGTTTGGTGACCTTCAGCCTCCGTTTCACTATACCTCTCTTCTAGCGTACTCATCTTATCGGTTTAATCTTTGAACATGTGACATTTACGGTGTCTTGATTTCGCTTGCTTTGTCTTTTGAGAGGATGTAGTATATCCCTTTATATCCTCAATGTGTTTTATCAAGGCATTTAGTTTTTTAGGTTGTGGGTACTATCATATCCATCGCCTGGACTTGATATTCCAAGAACCATCTTCCACGCGCATAGTATTCATTAGATTCCTTGACAACTGCAATCTTCGATGGAAGTGCTCTTTCCTACCTCAAAAAAGCCGCCATTCTGCTAGGTGGGAAGTTCTTTCTTATGAACGAAATAATATACATTTCTCTATTCTCAAAACAATTGCTAGTACCTAAGCCTGTTACTTACACATCTATCATCCATGCTGGAATCCTTTTAAACATTCTCCGTTGCCAAGGTCTCTGTCTTCGCTGGCCACTTCACCCTCCTCTCCGTGCGAACATAGAGGTTGTTGGGCCGGATCAACTGGAACATGGGGTCATACTGAATGGGCTCATTACCCTCCCGAATGAACTTATACCGGTAGATGAGTTTCGGAATGAAAACCTTGATTTCCTGCAAGGCAAAGTTGAACCCAATGCACATGCGTGGGCCCATAGCGAATGGGATATACGCAGCCTTATGTCTGCCCTTGACCTCATCGGTGTCCCAACGGTCAGGGTTAAACTGATTAGGATTATCCCACAGATCGGGGTTGTTGTGGATGTGGTGCAGCGCCGGGAGAATAACCGAGTCTTTAGGGATCTTGTATCCTCCCGGAAGCACAAGGTCAATCTTGGCGGTTCGTCCCGGTTGGAAACTCGGGTTGTGACGACGCTGCGTCTCCTTGATGTATTTATCGAGGAAATCGAGTCGCTCGGTGACATCAGCCGTAATCACGGTGTTCTCGTCGATATCGTTGTCGATGAGTTCTTGAAGTAGCCTCTCTTGCATACCTGGGTAGGTGACAAGACCGTAGATGAGCCAGGACAGAAGGGAACTGGTAGTTGTAAAGCCGGCTCCAGTTGCGACTACCAGAGCCCAAATCAAGCTTGATTCGGGTAGTTTCTCGCCTTTGTTGTCGGTTGCTCTTATAGCATAATCTGAAACGTTTATTAGCATCTGTGGATATAAGAAGCGGATTGGGTGATATATAGCATCCACTTACCGATCATATTAGACGCCTTCAGCGCTGCATCCTGCAGTGGCAGGTCTTCAATACCACCACGTGCAGCCTGTTCAATTGTTTCCCCCACAATATGTTCAACTCTGGCTTTGATATCTCTGAGCCGCTTTGGATCACCGAATGGTAGTTTACCATACCAATCTCCCTTGGACGAGACTTTCTTATTGAGAGAAAGAACTCCAGCAATCAAGTGTACCATCTCATGCATCGGTGCGTCCCGATTCGAAAAATGTTGGAAATCCAAGCCAAGCGTGAGCTTGCCAACTGCTTGAGAGCCGAGCTTCAGCATGTACTGGTAAACATTCCAGGCTTCACCCTGCTCATCAAAGTCATCAAAGACCTTAAAGGAATCTTCCACTGTCTTCTGCATGGTCGGCGCATAGTGACGGACAGCTTTAGGACCAAGAGCGGGCGGCAAAAACTTATGCGCAACCTTCCACTCAGGGGTATCGGTATCTCCTAGGAAAACACCGGCCAGAGGCTGCTTCAGAGGATAGAGTGGATGAGCCTCGTTGATCTTTTTTGTGAAAAAGTCGGACTCCGCAAAGACAATCGCCGAGATAGCCGGGTCATTTGTTTGATAGGTCGTACGGCCTAGACTGGTTGTCTTAATGACCGGTCCGTATTGTTCGAAGAGACGCTGGTGGTTGCCGAGATGGTCTGGGTAGACTTCGAAGAAATTTCCAACATAGGGGAGACCCTTCGGACCAGGAGCATCACGGACCGCGTTGCCATCGATGGTGATAGCGATGGGAGTTTCGGCCGCAGTGATTTCGGCGATCTCGTTTAGGTGGTCTTGAGCTTGGAAATCGATACCTATCACACCCATCAATTATTAAAATCGGGGATCAGGAAAAGAAACCGCTTCAAACTTACCACTTGACTCAACGATTGCGAAGTGAGCTGCAATCAAGTCCTTGAGTGCACCCAAATCACTTTTGGGGTCGACATCGATGTTTCTGGCGGAGGAGACTGGCTCTCCAAGGAGATAAAATTGCTTTGCAGGCATTGTGTGACTGAATGTTTGTAATGCTGACCACTTCAATCCAGGAAACCAATCTTATATATCGACTGCGCAATGGTCATCAAGAAACATCCTGGCCGTCTCATAGTTCGGGATTCCGCTTCCTCGGGTTGTGGGTCAAAAAGGACGTTTCCGATTGGCTTTGCCCACCTCGGTAGACTCCCGGGGTACCTCGGAAGGGCCGTTGTTTACTCAGTGATCTCCTAGATAACAGGATTTGATCTCAGGATTTTCAATAGACGAGACATCATTGATCTTCGGAAATTATGTCGGTACCTGGGTAGATCTCCACTGTGGGTCTAGGCAAAAATAGCTGGATTTACTAGGATTCGAAAACATCCTATCCCATTGGCGCATGTACCAGTTACAGAAGATAGGGATTCTCACGGAACATTCCATATTAGGATGTGATGGTAAAAATACTTTCTTCTCTATTCTAAATATTCACTTGCTTACAAATAGATACCCCTCAGGAGGTCTAGAATGAAGAGACACAAGAGTAGTTGGCCGCGTATGCGGCCTCTGTCCTCAACGACGCAGGACTTTGATGATATGTTTTGTCTGCTCAAGTTTGATTTAATGGACGTCATATGTAAGATAACACTCCAATTTCTTGTTTGGACTTTTTTTTAAAAACACTGTGTCTTGTCGGTGTTGGACAAGGAATCATAGGATGCAGCATCTAGACATGTCCAGCTTATCACTTTACACTATAAGGAGGTAAAAGGCATAAACCGTACAGAGGACTTTCCTATTCATGATAAGAGGCAGGGAATATGTAAGGGGCAGGGGATATGAAGCATGAATATACCATAACACATAGCAGAAGAAATTAGGGAGCTGTGAGATAATCAAGAACGCCTAACACTATATATGCTTACTAACCTACAGATGGACTAGTTAATGAAGTTATATATGTATTTTAAGAAGATTCTTAAATATATCAAGATCGAAACGCATTGGATTCACAAGCAGCTCTAATATACAGCACAATCTATAAACATGGAACAAGCAGAGAGTATATGATCAGACACTCTAGAAGCAGAAGATCTGGTCGGTCATCTTTCCGACAGCGCCAGGAGCTTCAAAGCCCGCAGCCACCAAGGCCTTCTTCGAAGCATTCACCATACCCGGCGGACCACAAAGCATGATTTTCGTGTCAGGTGCTGGCCCAGGCAATCTTGCAGCCATGACTTCTGGTGTAACGTATCCCTTGCCGTAAGCCCAATCGTCAGAAGGATGATCAAGCATATACCAGAGCTTAAAGTTCTTGGGGTATCCTCGTGCAAAAGCTTCCAACTCGCGACGGAGAAGAATATCCTCTTCACTTTGGTTGGCGTAGATCAGGCTGATTTCAGTCGTATCCCGATCATCCTCGCAAATTGCCCGGATGAGTTGGTACATCGGGGTGATTCCGGTTCCACCGGCGATCATGCCAATTTTCTTGCAAAGCCCGCTGTGATATTTCATCCCGCCTTTGGGGCCTCGGAATTCCACTTTGTCGCCAACTTCCAAAGACTGGAGGTATTGTCCGGTAAGAATACCATCTGGGTAGCATTTGATGACTAGCTCCAGTTTTCCAAGATCCAGGTTATTGGATGTCGGAGTATATGACCTCGAAACAGAAGCATCGTTGACCGTTGCTTTAATAGCAACGTGCTGGCCAATTGGGAGTCCAATCACGCCCTTTGGGTTGGGCAGTTGAAAGACGAAGCGGTATACATTGGGCGATAATTGAGTTTTCTCAATAAGGGGAAGCTTTTTGTAGGTCTTGGGCTCGAGGAAGCCCTTCACGAGATGTGGGTCCTGTTTCTTCAGTGTCGAGGCTTTGATGTACGAACGATACTTTGTGAAACCAGATTCGATTTCAGTGAATTTTGAGAGTTTGACTCCAATGGCACCGCCAATTGTCGCGCAAGCAAGAGTGGCAGCAGTGACTCCACTCAAAAATCCACCCTGTAGAAGGCTTGCGAATGGAATGCGAGCCTCGGAGAGTTGTAGGGAGGCCGGGGAGTGCTTTGCGAAGAAATCGGTGAGGGCTCGCTGATTCTTGGAAGAAATGTAAACCAGCGCAGAAGCAGCAAGCGTGGCAGTAATTGTAGTCGCAGCCTTGAGGGCCATCGATGACTTCTTGGGTGTATCTGTGCCGGAAGAGGTTTGCTTGATTACGCGAACAACCTTGGGCTGGACAAATTCGTGTGCATCCTTGACAGTACCAATTAAGTATGTCTCCATAATTTCATTTGCATCCTCCGAGTGACCGACATCCTCATATGCAGCCGTTGCATCTGTACCAGCGACGTCTAGCAACACATCCGCACCACCGGGATGGTCTCGCACATAGCCTGTGATGTCGTACACTAGGTATGTCAGAAGATTGAGCAATATAGTTTGAGAAGGGGGAGATTACCTTTTCCATGAATGATGACAAAAAGATCGTTTTTCGTCTTGTGAGCTGCCACTTCGCTCGCGTCGAATTCTTTCAAAGATGCCATTGTGTATGGAAAATGCAATATCAATGACGGTGTTTTTTTTAGCGTTGCACTGAACTCGAGACAAATGCTTTATAGTTTTAAAATTATAGTTTTAAAAACCAATTGCGCTATTTATCTTTTCTATCCTATAAAGATTTTCCGATTAACATTCAACTCCAAACAGGGGTATATACTTCCCGAGGAACGCTACCTCGGCATTGAGCCCCATAGCCCCATAGTACCCATAGTACCCATAGTATAACAGGCCCAAGCAAAGACCTCGGGAGATCGACTGGCCTAGATCAAGCATTTGCCCCTGATGCTCTAATGACGCATCTAAACTATATTCCTACATCTGCACCAATCATTGCACCAATCATTGAATTTGCCACGAATTCCAAACCAGCCCTTTGGATAACAAACTTCCTCATTCATCTTGTTTCCCACCGTCCGGGACGGAGTTTCCGAGGAACGAACCAAGATAGAGGCTCCTCGGTATTTGTTTGTTGATGGGGCTGACGAACTCCCTTGATCTTGTTTCTAGTCTAAGTTGTGGATAGTGGACTTCCGAGGGTTATACGGAATAGCAATGACAATGGCAATGAAAATGGAACTGGAACAAATGGGACATAAAAGGAACTCACCCGCCACTGCGATTGAACCAATCCACCACCAACTAGACTACTTTACACTCAAACTACAAGCTACTTGCTTAACAAAATGTCATCAAACTGGGAACCTCCGCGCAACTACCGCAGCCGCCCTGTTGCCATTCTTGGCGCAGGTGTACTGGGCCGCCGAGTAGGTCTGTATCCCATCCAGCGTGTTATTCAAAGGATAAAGTGCTGACAAGATCGTGAAATCAGGATGTATCTGGGCTTCAGCTGGCTTTGATGTTAATATCCGAGATCCCAGCGCGCAACAACGAGCAGACGGAATTGCGTACATTGAGGAAAATGTTCAATCATACTCTGCCAAAACCAATCAAGTCCCCGGGTCGTTCGAAGCGGTCGAGGATATGAAACAAGCTGTCGAAAATGCTTGGCTTGTCATTGAAGCTGTTCCCGAGAAACTCGAACTCAAGATCGCCACTTTCGCTGAGTTGGAGGCCCTCACCCCAAAGGACTGCATCCTGGCTTCCAATTCATCTTCATATAAGTCTTCCGAGGTGATCAGTCAGATCTCGGATTCCACCAAGACGCGTGTTCTAAACATGCATTACTATATGCCGCCAGCGTGTATGATTGTGGAGGTCATGACCGATGGATACACCACCCCAGAGATAATCTCTTTCATGGTTGAGCGCTGCAAAGAAGCTGCCACAAATCCATATGTCGCAAGAAAGGAGTCCACTGGGTTCATCTTCAATCGATTGTGGGCTGCTGTAAAGCGGGAGGTCTTGACTATTCTGGCTGAGGGTGTTTCGGTTCCCGAGGAGATTGATGCGATGTGGTCTGAATTGTTTGTCAAAGCAGGGACTCTTCCCTGTCGGACAATGGACAGTAAGATCTTCACTTGCCTTCCATAATTTTACCTTGGGATGAGAATTCGTTCGCTGACAGAATATTGCATAGATGTCGGCCTAGACACCGTTGCCTTCATTGAGGGTCATTATGTGGAGGAACGTGGACTCTCTCCTGAGAAGACAGTCGACTTTTTAAAGAGCACTTACCTGGACCATGGAAAGTTAGGAACAAAGTGCTCAAAGGGTGGCCTCTATCCTCCCAGTGACCCAACTCCCATCAAGGCCGATTCAAAGAAGCCCGAAATTTTGGTGTTGGACCTCGGACTGTCCGCCGCCACACCCAGCATGAAATCGGGAGAAATTCTCCGTGTTTCTGCAGACGGCAAGGTACAGAAATCGATTCTTAAAGGTCAATCATTGCCCGATGGACTTGCTGTGGACTCGACCTCTGGTCGTATGTTCTGGACTTGCATGGGCGGTCCAGGAAAGTCCGACGGGGCCGTTTACTCCGCGAACGTGGATGGGACCGACATTCAAACACTTGTTGCCGCAGGAACTTTGAATACACCAAAACAGCTGGCTATTGATTCTGTGGCGCAAAGCGTCTACTTTTCTGACCGCGAAGGATGCCGAGTCTACCGTTGCGCCTTCGACGGCTCCAATCTGGAGGTTTTGATTGACAACAATGGCCGTGATTTGACCCCTACGGAGCGCGTCTCTGAATGGTGCGTAGGAGTTGCCGTGAGCCCAAGTCAAGGCAAATTCTATTGGACCCAGAAAGGACCCTCGAAGGGTGGTGAAGGCCGGATCTTGTGCGCCAATATCACAATGCCCGAGGGTCAGTCAGCAGATGCTCGAGGTGATATCCAGTGTGTGCTGGCTGATCTTCCTGAGCCAATTGATCTTGAGGTGGAAGAAACCTCTCGCACACTTTACTGGACCGATCGTGGTGAACTCCCGTGGGGCAACTCGCTGAACAGAGCCAAGTTGGGTGAAGATGGTCTCCCTCTATCAACCAGTTCCCCACTAGGATATGAAATCCTCACTAGGGGTCTAAACGAGGCAATCGGCCTGAAGTTGGATTCCATCAATTCCCACGTCTATCTCACTGATCTGGGCGGATCTATCTACCGGTGCGACCTGGATGGCAACTACAAGGAGAAGCTTCTCTTCGAGGAGCATCGGGCCTTTACTGGAATTACTATCCTGTAAGCTCGAAGTATTATAGAGGCCCCTGTACTGAACTTGTATATAGATCGTTTGAGGATTGTTGTAAATATACGTTTTGTAAGAATTGTGATGCCTCAGGCATATATTTTAGGCATCATATGCAACCAGTCCCTGTAGATAGACCTCTCTCTTTTTTTTATTTCTATCGCGTTCTTTTTTTCTATCATCTCTGCTGTCTCTCTTCCTTTATTCTCTGTCCTTCTATCTCTTTCGTGGCTCTTCAAATACTCACCTCACCTGCTTAGCGCCTGGTTTGTCACGCTTCACCTAGCTATCTAGCTAGTCTAGTTAGCCTCCTGTTTGTTTGCAGAGAATCAATCCTTCTCTTCTCCTCTCTTTGCTTATTAGCAGTCATATCAATAGCCAATATAGCTTTTCCCACTGCTCCCCCTCAAATTTCAGCCATATGCCTTAGAAAAGTCTTACCTCGGAACTGTCGGAAGCATGCCGTGCCTCGGCTCACCTCGGACAGCTTATAATACTCGACGACACTCGGCGACCCGACCTTCTCGGCAGACCGATACATCAATACTTGGCAGCCAGACTCATTATGTCTACGCGCCGCTATCGATCGGCTGCTGCTTGTCAAAATTGCCGTCAGCGCAAAGTCCGCTGTAGCGTGACGGTGACCGGTATCCCGTGTATAGGTTGTACGCAAGATGGCAGAGAATGTACCGTTCCGCCGACAAAAACCCAAACGTAGGCTTTCTTCCAGATTGATAGAAGCTTATCGCTGACAGATACAGCATACGCGAGAGACATACGCGTCGAACCGCGTCCGTTATCAGTAGCCCGCCTCACGCAAATTCTAATGGATTGATACCACAGTCTTCACTTCCACTCAATGCATTTCCGAATGCGCCGCCTTCCCATGAAGGCCCCCCTGGGCTGGCTAGTATGAGAAGTGTCTCTAATCCCCCGGATTATACTCGGCATCGGGATGAAGAGCAGACTGGCGTTGAAATCGCAACCAAGGTCCTTGGGAAAAACAACAAACCTGGCCAAGCGCCATTCTATACTGGTCTGTAGTCACTGTGGAACTGTTTTCACCTGAAGCTAACTCGAAACTGCAGGTGATTCGCCTGGGTTTGGTGCCGTCTTTGATATATGCTCACCTTCAGACCAACCTACACCAAGACATATCCTACTCACTTCCAAAACATCCGTTTCGCTATCCCCCGAGGATAAAGCATACTTGCAGTACAAGGGGGCTTTCAATATGCCCCGAAAAGAGACCTGTGATGAACTTCTGCGAGCATACTTTCATCATGTGCATCCCATTATGCCGGTGATTGACGCTACAACGCTTCCACACCTCTATCCCAGTGGAGATGGTCAATCGTACAATCTGATATTACTATGGAGTATCTTCTTCGCTGCAGCAAATGTACATTGCATCTCCTCAGTTGAACTACAATCTAGCTAATATGCATATAGTATCTTTCGGTCGATGCTTGGAAATCAGAGGGCTTTTCGTCCAGGAAAGAGATGAAGGAATCCATGTACGCCCGTGCAAAGGTGAGCAAGCTATAAATCGATATTTTCCAGAATCACGCTTTGCTAATGGCCCGTTCTTAGTGCCTGCATCATAATGGGGGTGAGACCGACCACGCAGTTCTCCTTCAATCAGCACTTCTCTTGGGATTTTACCACTCTGAAGCTGATACCTACAGCCAACCGTGGTATTGGCTTGGTATTGCCATTAGCCTTTGCCAAACAATGGGTCTGCATCGTTTCTCTGCTACGGTCTGTGCCAATTCACCTATCGCCGGAGCACAACAGCGTCTTTGGCGCCGCCTTTGGTGGACAACCTTTTTTCGAGACCGTTGGCTAAGTCTCACAATGGGCCGTCCATTGAGAATCAACATGAATGACTGCAACACTGTGCTGCCATCTGCTGTTGATATGTTGGATGATTTTATCGGATTACCTAAACCCATATCGGCAGCATATATCCCGAAGGACCTACCGCAGCTAGCAGAGTATTGGGTCACAATGATTCAACTCACTCAGCTTTTGGGAGGCACTCTCATTTTGTGCTACCAACCCTTTGGAACCAGTTCGTCTTTCCAGCAGGTCGAAGCCCTTGAGAAAAAGATTTTGCGCTTTCAACTTCCCGACAATCAGGAAACGGGACAAAGTCCACTTGCAACCTTTTACTTGTATCATTTGCAGCTTCATTACCAGTGAGTGCTGACACCATATCCATCTTTAACTGCTTCTGACATCCAACAGAGCATTCATAATCACTTTTTATCGTCCCTTCATCACAAAGACCCTGGAAGGCTTGCCCGCATCTCGCCAGGATACATGGCAAACTCACGTCCGAAATCAGATCAATATGGCTGCCCTACAGACCAATGCCATCCTTGACAATTTGGCACACGAGAAACTGTTGGGATTCTCCGTTGGTATGACGTGAGTGTGCAACTCTTCTACAAATACTTTCTTATCTGACAATCGCGCTCAGGCCACCGCTATTAGTCCCAGCAATGCACATCCATCTCCTCAACTGTAAATCTCCCGATCCCGTTTCCCGACGTCTGGGTCTCAACAAAATTGAGGTCTGCATGATAGTCTTGGAACAGATGCAGCCCACCCACCCCTGCGCTTCAGTCTTCCGAGGTATCTTTCTCGAAGCCATCCGTTACATTTTCCCGAACTATGTGGCTCAAACAGTCCTCCCTGAGCTTGTATCCGAGTCTTCTCCGCTGCAGGAAGTTTCGATGGAAGATCCTATGGCAGGAATAACAATCGGTGAAGATGCCATTGATGCGCTGATGGATGAGGTGTCGATTTTCAATTTTTGGGAGTCCCTTAACAACATGCAAACTTAGGCTTCTGGAGATATATATGAACAGATATACATGTCAAATTAATTGTTAATGCACCCGCGAAACCAGCTGGTATGAAAGAAAGTAAAATGGATTATGGTGTAAAATCCCAATTCTAGAACGGCAATCACCGGTGTTATTTGCGGTGATGAAATGGGTGCAGCAATGTGAAAGCAACCGTGCTTCCAACGTTGTTGACATGTTGCCCCCATACCTTGTACGTGTCTGCAACATCACTACAGCACCAGCAACCCCTTGATGTTGATCGAAATCTTCATTAATGCTTATACGTGATCTCAAACAACCGGTCAAATGAATTCATCATCAGTTAACGTTAGAAAAACAGACTATTCCGGGCGGTGCCTAGGTATTAGGAAATGCGCGTCATCTAGAGAGATAGACCGAAATCGGCTTGACCAGTTGCACAGAGGCATTCTTCCTCGAACCCTATCTAGATACACGCTAGTCCGTTTTTCAGACAGCCCGTATTTAGACGTACGATCATGTGAAAAACAGTGTAATACACCAGGTGCGAGGCATACATGTAAACTATTTCCTCGGCCACGGAGCGTGAACACCGGATCAGGCGGCATCAGTACGCAGAGCATCCGTAACATTGGATTATCCAGCTCCGAAGCCGTAGTATTAGATGGGTCTACAGCGAGAAAGTGGTAAAGGTTGATCCTAAAAGAAATTAAAAGAATGATTCGAACATACAGTATAGGTGGATTAGGCTAAGAAGAGAGTAACAACCTACGAGGCAAACTGGACTCTGCGTCATTATGCTAGCCCTCGTAATAGATTATGTTGCTGCCTTCTTTGCGCAGACCAATACTACATAGTTCAGTCTCAACCTCGGTAGTTGAATGCCGTGTGGGGGCGATGGGCGATGGGGTTACCTCGGCAAGGTCCACTTGCCGGTGCTAAGCACTTATTCGATACCTATAAGCTATCTAACGAATGCTTCTATTTCCAGTGCCGCGTATGTAGCAGCGGTATTACGTCGGTATAAAGCTTAGCAATAGGCTAGAACCACCTAGGTGCCGAGTTCCGAAGTCTAACTACTTGCTATATAAATACCAATCGCCAAGGTTAGGGATTCCTCCTCCCTACACACAACAGCCTTTCGTTTTGCTCCTTATATTCCTTACATTAGGTTCAGCCGAGAACACACCAAAGGCTAGATAGGATGTCTCAGATGTCCCAAAGACCAACAGTTCATACAATGCACGAGCCGGGACTGTCAGACGAAGATGCCCGAGGCAAAATGGCTGCGCTACCAAGTCCTCCAAAGTTCGACGATAAACTGGAGGAACGCGAATACCAGAAAGGCCGACTCGCTCTAGCATTTCGAATTTTCGCTAAGCTCGGATTTGACGAAGGGGTTGCGGGTCATATCACATTGCGTGTAAGCTATCAATTTCTTCGAATCCCGTTTGTCTGCTCACTGAAAGTTGTAGGATCCCGTGGACCCCCACACTTTCTGGGTTAACCCATTCGGTGTGCCCTGGCCGAGCCTTCGTGCTAGAGATCTGATTCGTGTCGGAGAGGGTGGGAAAGTCATCGAAGGGGGCGACGTGAAGCTGCTGAACACTGCTGCATATATGATTCATCATGCAGGTAGGTGTCTGTGACTTAAGGGATATACCTGATACATATCTAGCATTCTCCTCTTTCGCCTAGCCGGCATACTTGACCTTTAAGAATAACCTACTGACTTTTATTATAGTTCACGAAGCTCGCCCGGACGTGAACGCCGTTGCTCACAGCCACTCTATCTACGGCCGTGCATTTTGTTCTCTTGGGAGACCAATCGATATGATATCCCAAGACTCGTGCGCATTCCATGATGTAGGATACTATGCCGCCCATTTTTATATAGCTAGACGCTTACAAGTTACAGGACATCGCAGTCTACAAGCAGTTCAAGGGTATCGTTCTCGCTAGCGATGAAGGCCTTGCAATTGCCAAAGCTCTAGGCCACGCCAAAGCAGCACTTTTGCAAAACCACGGGCTTATCACGTGTGGCCAAACTGTGGAAGAGACAGTTTTCTGGTTCATGTCTCTTGATAAATGCTGTCACGTCCAACTTATGGCCGAGGCTGCGGCAGGATCAAGAGGTGAAAAGCCAATCGTGATTGATGACGAGGATGCGAAATTCACCAGAAAGAGCGTTGGAACGCCTCTAGCTGGCTGGTTTTCAGCTTTGCCTTCTTTCAAGCTAATGGAAGCAGAGAGCAATGGGGATTATGCTTAGGCCTATGATATGGTTTCAACTGTTACAAAATAGACCCTTGAATTTGAGTTTTTTGTGCATTGTATGAGGCTCTCCTTCCAGAATGAAAAGAGATCGTTCCCCAATTAGTTATATTAATGTTGTAGTGGGGCCCCGAGAAAGAGTGAGTGAGAGTGTGGAGTGAACACTGATTTTGTATATCACTGTACTGGTTGCATTGATCCCTGACTGAGGATGGGAAACAAAAGCTTCTTTCTGGCGAAAGTTCCGCTTCGGTCTTACCACTTCATGTAGATCGCTGCGGTGTATCTTTATCAACTTTCTATGGATCCTCGTCTGTCACTGGCATTGGGGGTGGTTGATTTGTCTCCGCTCGTACCTACAATTTCGGATTCGTCTAATTTTTCCAAAATCTCAGAGAATTTTGATATATGATAAACATACCAAGGGCTAACCTGCCGTGCAGAGGTTCAACAAGTAAAACTACCCCTATTATATATATATATATATATATACATATCCAAGTTTATTCTACTAGTAATAACCACTGTTCTAGATAGGCCTTTATCTATATCTAGCTATAGAATACATACCTAAGTAATCTACGTAGTTCACTGATAACTGTATTTATTAAGCTACTAGTAATAAACTCAAGTACAGCATCTATCAAAATTATCACGTGAAATCAACTCGCTTGTTAACCCATATAAGCTACATACGACCTGGTGACCTGGTGAACAAAAAGCTATACATGCAAACCGATCATGATTGTACATGCAAATCCAGTCCAGTTAACTCATTTTCGTTAATATCCCTGGGTGGACTCCTTTTGATGTTAAGCAAATTAGTGAAGTGAATCTTGCCATCGGATGAGCTCCACTTAGGATGGGGCTAGAGAAGGTGTGGCGCCGCCATGGTTCCAATGTTCAACCCCGCTATAAGTTGGTAGATTTTCTCTTGAAGATCATCGAAGATGGCTTCGTAACCTAGCCCATAATGACAACGCCCAAGGAGTTACCGAAATGTCTGATCCTACAAGAAAGATAATGTTCGAACCAAGAGTGGCAGTGGTTGTGAATGTTTTGAAGCAATAAGAGGACAATCGTAAGTCGAACATCCAAATAAGGAATAAGAAGAAGAAGAAGAAGAAGAAAAAGTGCTTGAAGACCTTATGATATCACATAACGGAGTGGTAATGTACATCAATAAGCACAAAGCCACCAGACAGTGTAGAAGACACTAGAGGAAGGGAGAAAAGAAAAAGAACCTCCAATGCAAAATATGTTTATCTACCGCAGGCACGAAGAAATAAGCCCCATACACCCCAACAGATGATAGAACAATAAAAGCTTTAATCAGATTCCGTTCCATTCAAATAAAGTCTTCGAATCCAAAGTTAGAAGTAATGACAACCGGAGTATCCCACATGTGAACGCTGTTGAAACTCAAAGACAAGACCCCAGATTGGTATTCCATTCATGCAATACAGGCGAAAATGACAGTCAAGATACATTTGCTGCTGAAGCAAGAGCTGGAGAGTAGAAAAACACTGGATTTATCACAGGAGAAGAAAAGTGCACAAGATGCATGAAAGAAGAGGGTAGGCAATTCTCGGGGTATTAAGGGGGTGTTGACCAGTCATTTAAAAAGAATCGCCGAAGGTATTCGATCATCGATTAGGCATGTGATTTGAACCAGACCCTGTGGAAATTCCTGACTGCTGAGCGCGGTAATGTACCACATCAACAGGTTTAGACGGGAGGGATGGCGAGGTCTCCCGTTGGAGAGCGGTCGAAGGCTGAAACAAGCCTTGGCGTGCAGAAGGTGGAGAGAAGATATGATTGTGGGATGGGGCGTCGGTAATAGGAGAGCGGTGTTCGAGGGCATGGGTTAGATGCGGCTGTGATTTCCGCACGTCCAAGGGAGACGAACTTAGGGACCGGAACCCGGATTTGCGATGATCGGCATCATAATCTGGGTTGCGGAAGGGCCCTTGCGTTTGATGCCTTGGATCGTGCTCCATGCCGTAAGGGGTGTTGTTGGCTGATGAGTTGGCAGCAGAGGCATTCTCGGGAATGGTAGATGCAGATCCATTGGGTGCGTTGATGTCTACCACCCGCTTTTGAGCGGCTGGCGTTGCATATGATAACGGTTGCGGATGCTCAAATGTACGACCTTGTGGCCGAGGTGGCTGCGAGTGATGTTGCTGTTGCTGCTGATGGATAGGATGTTGTGGGTTTGCCCAGGGCGTTTGTTCTAGGAATGCTTCTTCGGCAGCTGAACGGAACGCATTAGAAGACATGGTAGACATGGTGGTCCGTGGGGGTATTGTTGATGAGTGGCGTGGTGCGGAAGCGCGAGACTCGATAGGAATCTATGCATTGATGTTAGCAACTGCCGAAAATTTACGCAATATGAATATGACTTACCCCCATCTTTTCAAGATCGTCATCAAGTTCGGTGGGCCGTGCACCCATCAAGGACGGGGCAGCGGGGAAGCCAACATACTTGGCCACACCGGCCATGATTGAAACCTCCTGGTTGTATGCAGTCTGATGTGCGATTTGCTGCGAGCGACGGGTGGGGAATGCGATGATATGGTGCGGGCTAAGCTCGTCTGTCTTGAAGCGATCATGCTGAATGGCATAGAACTGCTTGCTGACTGCACTTGAATGCCGCTCGCGCGCATCCCGAATCCGCTGGTAGTATGTGCTATGGGCCTGCGTTCGCTCGGCCAAACCCTTGTGCATGAGTGACTTCATGCGGTATCGATACAAGTTCTGTTCGTATTTGATCTTGGCGTCCCGGTAACGCTGCACACACTCAATCTGCCGCAAGTACTCGGGATGCGTCGGGTTCGGACCGGTAAGCATCTCCAACTCACGGTTGAGTTTGGATATCCGTTCATCATAAATCCTATGATTGTGAGTAATGAAGCACGCGAGATTTTTGGAGCGATTTCTTACTTGTCACGTAACGTTGCAAATTCTTTTTCCAGTGTCGCTAGTGAATCCATAGCAGACATCTTTTTCACGGCTGTGCGGGGCATCAATATTTGTGTCGTCCAAAGGGTCCATGAACTGGAAGACTTACACTCTTCGGCTCGAAGAACCGCCTCCGCGCCATCGGGCTCATCTCCTCGTTCCGTAGGCTCCTCGTCTTCTCCAAGAATCTCATCAGCGACATACTCTATTGTGGCCTCAACCTCAGCTTCCGCCTCCTCATCGGCGTCTTGGGTCCTTCTTCCTTTCCGCTTACCCTTTTTGCCCTTTTTGCCTTTGGAAGGCGGGGCTGGGAGGTCCGACTCAGGAACTTCGTCAACCAGTATGCCATCGTCATTGATATCCATGGGGTTACCGAGAGGCTCAGGTGAGAGGGGGGTATCATCGTCGATCGGGTCACTCAAGTCACTCTTAATTGAGCTCCGGCGTTTCTTCGTAGGCTCTTCGTCGCCCAGCTCAGCGACTGTTTCGTGTTTTCGTTTATTGGTGAGGCTACCTGGAAGATTGGAATCGCCCAAGTCGCCCAGGTCTGGGATATCCTCGGTCAAGCCGTTGTTTTTTGAAGACCGTCGTGGTTTGCTAGGAGAATCGTCCGCCACAAGTGCTTCATCGTCGACATCATCGAGTGTTGTAGATTGATAAAGCTTACTAGGACTTGGTCCGGCACTGGCAGCACTCAAAACGATGTCATGTTTCCGAATATTGTGTGGAGAATCCTCGATGCGCTCGGTTTCGGCCTCCGAATCGTTCTCCATTGGCTTGTCTGATTTGATGGGATCTTCGAAGTCGGACGGCTCGTTGTCCGAGACGTCGTCAATCTCACTCAAACTACTTGAGCGTCCATCATCGTCCATAAGAGGGTCATCAAGAAAAGGGTTCCGCTCGCCATTGGGGAATGTGGACTCTGCCCCCGTTGTGGGACCAACGGAGGCCTGTTCTCTGCTCTCAGCTACCTCCATGGACACTTAAGCAGCTAAGAGAGCTGGCGCAACACAAGGTGAGTGAAGACAAGAAGTTTTGGGTGAGGGTACTGGGTTATCGATTGCTCGCAGCTAGGTCGAGATTCGCCGCAGGCGTGAGGAGAGGGAGGAAGGTCACCGATCCGCCAGATGGTGTTTCGATCGAGAATCTGGAGAAAACATAGATCGAATTAGCTCAATTGCCATGTCAACTCGACAAAACCAATGGAAGACGGGGTTGGTGGGCAAAAAGTGGTTGGTGGGTGCGAGAGATAGGTCAGCGCCTCCAGAAGGCGGTGGTGCGGAGATTGATCATCGAACGCCCCCAGAGTCGGTAACAATCGCTCAGCGTAGGAGCTAGAAACCGCGCAAAGCAAGTGTATCGATCACAGTAGTCCCAGAAGACACAAAAACACTATTTCCTCGCAAAAAATGACCAGATGAAACTCTGGGGTTGATGTAGAACCTCAAGCGACGTACCGTTTCAACAATGCGCCGGGAGCGACGCCGGTAATGAGCACAGCTGCTCGCGACCGACCACGATTCCCAAAACCACCGCGTTCCTGGAACGCAAGTTATGACTTAAATCCAAACCCACGCGTGTCACCACTATTGTAACCCGTAAAAAGCTTTCGGTCCGACGAATCCTGCGCAGACCGACTCTGGAGAACGAGGGGAGGATGGCTAGGAAGCGGACAAGACGAGGGTACCGAGTCGCAGGGGGGTTGACGGCATGAAGAAGTGGCCAGGGACCGTAGTGAAGATCAAAGCAATGATCAAGGATGGGAAATTACAGCCGAAAGAGGGGGTTTCAGCAGACAAAAGCAGCAGATCGCTCTGATGGGGTGCAGCAACAGAAGCGAGTGACCGCTAATTCTGCCGCGTTGCGTTCCGGCGAGGGCAAGACTCACCGCCCGAAGAAAAAAGAAAATCACGTGAGAATGTATCTGACGTAGTTGGAAAGAGATGGGCCATTTTGTATGATAATATGTTGATATTGCACTTTTATACCAAATGAAATATGGGATGAATACAAAACAAAAGAGATCTCCATCGGTCTCACAATGTTAGATGGTGTGTAAATGCATCATACATGCACAGATTACCACTCAATCCCAAGCAAGAGCCTCCCAGCCTGGAATACATAGAGAGAATGGCGGTACATATAGACAAGAAGAGTAAGTAATACATAAAGTCCTGCATAGGTGATATTCATGCATATCTATCATATACGATGTACGATGTACCTTACATAGTAACTAGGAACATCTGCTCTGAAATTGTACTCCAAGTCATGTGATAAGCAGCTTTCCACGCCAAGACCCGATAAGCAGAAACTAAAGGAAAAAAAAAAGTCGGAGCTATCATCGGCGCAAGTGTCAATCGCCGCAAAGCCACGTCTTGATCACTCAATTTTAGACTATAATACGGACCAAACACATCAAAATGGGCAAAAAATCAAATTCTTCCTCCAAGACGGAGGAGAAGACCAGCAAGGCCGCTACCACTCTTCCCTTCGGTGGTGCATCTCTGGACCCAACATTGTCCTCGCTTTTTGCGCAAAGTGTATGTCTGTCTTGATGTACAATGAATGAAATTTGAACTGACAATATCTAGGCTGGTCCTGTGCAAGCCCCCGTGATCAAATATGCCGAGCCCATCCAACGGGCGAAAAAGGACGAAGATGATGCTTCTGAAGAGGAGGAATCGTCTGCATCAGGCGATGAAGTAATGGAGGATGCTGCCGAAGAAAGCGATTCTGAGGCCGCAGAGGAAGAACAATTTATCGACACACAGAACCGGAAACGCAAGCGTGGCAGTGCCGGTGAGGAGGTCGAGGAGACATATATGCGTCGCATTGCTAAGGAGGAGAAGAAGGACGAGGAAAAGAGGAAGTCCGAGCAAGCTAAGCGCCAAAAGCAGACCGAACAAGAAGGCAGCGAAGATGATGAAGATGAAGAAGGCGAGGACTCCGACAAAGCATCGGCATCAGAAGAGAGCGATGAGGAAGAGACCGCTCCTGCACCTGTGCACGAGAGCTTGACTGGCTCCGCTAAGGCTGATGAAGTTGAGAAGTCCAACCGCACCGTCTTCCTAGGCAACGTCTCTACCGAGGCTATCAAGTCCAAGACCGCCAAGAAGACACTTCTTAGGCACCTGGCCTCTTTCTGCTCTACGCTTCCCGAATCCACCGGCCCGCACAAGATCGAGTCGATCCGTTTCCGCTCTGTTGCATTCGCCAGTGGTGGTGGTATTCCCAAGCGTGCTTCCTTCGCGAAGCGTGAGCTTCTCGACGAGACCACACCCAGCACCAACGCATACGCTGTTTACACCACTCTGCACGCCGCACGCAAGGCTCCCGCAGCCTTGAACGGTACCATGGTTTTGGACCGTCACTTGCGAGTTGATAGTCTTGCTCACCCCGCAGAAATTGACCACAAGCGCTGTGTCTTTGTCGGCAACCTGTCTTTCATCGACAGTGAGACCCCCGAAGAGGACGAGAAGACCGGCAAGAAGAAGAAGGCTCGTGCCCCTGCCGATATTGAGGAGGGTCTCTGGCGGATTTTCAACGCCCACACTGGAGGTAAGGACAAGAAGGCCATCAAGAAGAACGTCGAGTTCGTGCGCGTGATCCGTGACAGCACCACTCGTGTTGGTAAAGGATTTGCCTATGTTCAGTTCTACGATGGCAACAGTGTCGAGGAGTCGCTTCCGCTCAATGGAAAGAACTTCCCGCCCATGCTTCCCCGCAAGCTGCGTGTCACTCGGGCCCGCAAGATCGCTAAGAAGCGCGAACCCTCTGGCCCCGAGGCCAAGAAGTCTCGTGTAGACGAGGCCCAGAAGACGATGCAAGGTCGTGCCAACAGGCTACTGGGCCGAGCGGGTGCGGCTAAGGTTAGGGCCGATGCCAACAGTACCATTGCCGGAAACTCTTTCGTGTTTGAGGGTCACCGCGCTACTGAGGGATCATCGTCCATCAAGATGAAGCAAAAGAGCCGCGGCTCCAAGGCCAAGCGAGAAAGCAGAAGCAGCAAGCGGGCTGCCGCATACAAAGCTGCGGGTGGCAGACGGGGCTGAAAATAAAAGAAGCCATATTGTATCTCTTATGGGCGTTAGGAAGGGCATTTGAATATATTGTATGAAGAGCACAAAATTTGAGATCAGACATGCATAGCTTGAGCATATACATAGCGATTTCCAGCCCTGGAGATATACCGCGTATTCGATAAAAATTAATTATGAAGCTACAAGTTGAGACAGTGACGTCATTGTCAACATTCAACGTAGGTGGTAGACGATCGACTGGTCAATCACATCACATGCACATGTACTCTTCCTACCCATTGATTATTTAATTTCTTTAAATGACACTCTACTTGAAATTCTTTTAACAATTTTGGAAAGTCAATAGCTCCAACCATCCCAAGTGAACCATTTTCCAACCTCCATGTGATATGCGGGGGTTGAGGCGCACGAACAACACGACAAAAACAAAGGCCAAAGCCAACTACCGAGGTCAGGTAGTACGAAGCGAAAAGAAGGTTCATACGGATCGTATTTGACCGGTTGTACTTTCTATGAGTGGTGGCGCCGTTGCCTAAACTGAATCATCCAACTTCACCGCAAAGCCCAGCAGTGACGTCTCTACGTGCCCAGGTGTCACCAAAACCTTTTCAAGTCAGCACCTAAAAGTCCCATTACTGCCACCATGTTGCCTTTCGGAGCTCGCCCGGGAAACCTGCGCCAGTCCCATGGCCTACCCTCTGCAGATACGAATGGTACGGATTCTGATGGGTCGGATGAGTGTATCCCAGATCTAGGACCTCAAGTGTTTAATCCCACCTTGGTGGATGTACTCAATGTTCGGCATGTGTTGCAATGGAAACTCCCACGCGGTCTTCCCGAGGAGCTTGTCGATATGATCGTTGATGCTGCAGAATATTGGCCCTCGATAGAGCAGAAAATGCAAGACCAGCGGGTCGTTCACAAAGACTGTGATCAAGTTTTGCTGAAGACAGTTCCCTTCTGCTATGACCGGAATGTATATCTATCCGTTCTCAAGTTACCTGGTTGGCACGTGCTGATGATTTGTTTCTTCTAGAGCTTAGAGCAAGAGCCGGGTCCTACTCCCTTGCCCCATCGTGGAGCACACCCATGTCGCAAGATAGTCTTCGATATTTCATCTCGCGACCAAGGCGGCGGGCGACGCCACGACAACATGTATGAGTTTTCATGGACTTGGTTTGACGTCGAAATTATTCACGGTGCCCATATGAGGAACATGTACGTCAACGGAACTGAGCAAGAGATTCTCGACAATGAGCGTGGACAAGTCCGAAAACACTATACCGAGGCAGATGCGTTGCTGTTGCCGGGTAATAACAAATTGCAAGCCAATGGAGCCCGGGTGAGCGATATGCAGCACAATAAGATTGTTTGGGATCATCGAGACGATATCCAGGCAGACTCGCTCGCGGCATTTGAGATTGAGAAGACTCTGGGTCGTGGCCGGCTTACTCTTGATGGACATGGAGTGCGTGAGTTGGAGGTTGGCGATTCGATTGCTATTTGGGCCCGGTCAAGGTTTCCCGGCTGGTCAAATCACGTTGATCGAGCGAGCGTGAGGATATACTGGGCTGTATGAGGGAACAGCGGTTGGATGAAGGATAACCACTGACCTGTATATATGGATCTTGTCTGGTATCAGGTTCTTGTTTACACAGTATTGAATGACCCGTCTGAAGAACAACTTATACCCCATCTTAGGCCTCAGATCAACAGCAGACTCCATACAGCCCTGAGTGATCACTTTGTAAACATCGCTGTATACTTACTTGCTAAACGCTGATTGGCTTTGAGGCCCAAAATCGATCACGCCATTTTGCCAAGACTGCCTGATCGACGCCAAAACAGCACAATATAAAGCCAACGGCCTCCTCGAGCTGTCTTTCTTTTCTTATTTTTCCCTGATGTTAGTCGTCATGTAGTCCGACCGTGGACCTACAATATTCCCTCTTATACCATGAAAATGGTGTGTATTCTATGAGTACCTCCTCCCATACTGGTTGACCACGGGTCGACCCTTCCGACAGGCCGACGGGAAGCGCACAGTGGGGCTCAGTCGCCGATTCAAAGTCCCCGAGTGAGTCACCGAATGAGTCGCCGTTCAAAAGTGCCGGGCCATCACCAAATGTCAAGCAGCCAATTTTAGCTCAAAGATCCCCACCACGCGGCACACGATGGATTGGCCAATACATGTCGATAGAACGGCGACCCATCTCGCCCGAGAGTTACGCATGTGTCATGGGATATTGGGGGGACGTTCGCCTGGAGAATAATGAGTCTTCCCGTGCTATAGCGATGTCCTGACTGGATGCTGGTTGCGTTATCTGCATGAAAATATGGAAATACCACGCAACCCGTCGCCGATGATGTTGTCCTCTGGGTCTTAGCCGACTTGTTCCCCCTTTTTAAAACCTGCCGTGGCCCCCCTCGCGATATCTACTACATTTCTGTTTATTTAGCTATTAAAATAAACATCGTTTACACAGCTCTTTCTCACTCTACCTTTTTTGAATTGACCGAGTCCTATATTCCCTTTCCTACTCTTACTCTCATCCTCCGATCACCCCAACGCCAACATGGCTACTCGGAAATGCGCAGCGGTTGTCGTAGGAGCCGGTCCGGCTGGAGTTGCCGTCATGGGAAACTTGTTGGAGCGCCAGTTGGGCACAATCACATGGATTGATCCTTCTTTTGAGGCTGGGAGGGTCCATAGCAAGTATCGCGAAGTTCCCAGGTTCGTACCCGATCCTTGATACGTAAACACAGGCCGGAAGATACTAACAAGATACCCTTCAGCAACACCAAAGTTTCATTATTCCAAGCGTTCGCACAAGCCACACAGCCTTTCCAGAAAGTGATCGATAACACCAAGTCACCCAATGCGTTCACGAAATTGGCCAAACTCGACCAAGAATCCACCTGCACCCTTGGTTTCGCGGCGGATATGGTTCGCAGCCTGACAGACGGTTTAATGAAGATGGAGGAAGTATATGCATGCCACGGCTTTGTCAAATCAGCCAACCTGAACGAAACGGTTAGTGATATGATCACATATTTACTTCTCTATACCAAATGAAGACTAATAATGACATCATAATCCAGACCTCCAACTGGACCATCTCTATCAAACGGAATTCTTCCGACGATCTTGAGACCGTCGAGACTACCCGCCTGATCCTCTGCACAGGCTCCTTCCCCACATCAGCCCCTATCCCCGTTCCGGGACTAGATATCCAGCGCTTGGACCTCGACGTAGTCCTCAAGCCCACTGAGCTAGCAGAGACAATCCTCTCAGACAAACCTATCTCCGTCGCCATCGTCGGCGCATCCCACAGTGCCATCCTCGCCATCCTGAACCTCACCAAGCTTGCCCAAACCTCCCACCCTCTCCTGCGCATCAGCTGGTTCACCCGCCACCCCCTCCGCTACGCAGAGTACCAGGACGGCTGGATTCTGCGCGACAACACCGGTCTCAAGGGCATGGCTGCGGACTTTGCTCGCTCCGAGCTGGAAGACGAGAAGCTTCCCACTTCACGCGCCGGCCAGGTCCTGACCAAGATCGACTGCGCTGGTGGCCAGGATATCGAGTCTGCTCAGTACCACAAGTACTTGCCCGCATGTGACTATATTGTCCAGGCGGTCGGTTATACCCGTACCTCGCTCCCTGATATCTCGAAGAATGGTGTGCCACTTCTTATGAGCTTTGACCATGACAATGGCACGTTCCACGAGCCCGGTCGTTCGGCTGTTATCCCCGGACTGTTTGGTGCCGGTATTGCGTTCCCCGAGCGGGTCGTGGACCCACATGGCCATGAGGAGTACGCGGTTGGGTTCTGGAAGTTCATGAAGTTCCTCAAGCGGGTCATCCCGTCTTGGGTTGCATGATTGTTTCGTCTCTTGCTTTGATTTTGTAGATTTTATGCTTTTTGGCGTCCTACAGGACACTGACTACGGTGCCCATGCATTGTCTAGCGAGCTATGATTCCAACGTTTGATACCGATATCCGTGGAGTAATTGGCGTTGGTCTGGGTGGCTTCATAGCCTTTTTATATAATTCTATAGCTTGTCTGCAGGCTACAATTAAAAGAAATCCTTCTTTTCAATTTCAAATTGACCATATCCGCAAAATGTCCTAGCCATTATTCATCGCCAACTGAAACACGATAATCACGATAATCACGATAATCACGATAGTCCAAGCACTTTCAGAGGTATCAATAATGCTGGGGCTGCGAGATTTCGGGTTGGACGTCCGCATTCCAAACATGTAGGACCCGAAGTATATTGACGCCAACGGATGACGGAGGGATATAAAGTGGCCAACTCGTAGAATATTTGTCGTTGCATACGTGCTATCGAGCTTTAAGCCTGGTACTTTAGAAGCTGTTGGACATAGGGAAGTAACTAGCGGATCGGATTGTTCTTCATTTGAATAGTATATCTAGTCCTTCCCTAAACATAACTGCCAGTGCAAAGTAGCCATTAGCCATGCAACATATCAGTCATCAACGTCACATACCATCCCATAACCCCGTCATATAACATCATGAAATACCATAGAAACATCAATTTTTCCTCCCCTCCACCTACAAACACAGTCCATCCATACTTTTATTCAGCTACCAATTTACAACATAACAACCGCAAACACACCAGCGACAACAGCACCAACACCGCCATTCCTCACAGCCCCAGCACCACTATCAGCAGTCTGCGTCGCAAACGCTTCATTAGAACCGGTAGCCGTAGCGCGGTGCTCGCTCTGACTAGCCACAGCCTTGACATCATACCCAGTGGCGGTAACGGTATAAGTAGTGGAAACCTGGGACCAAGTGAGAACAGTACCGCTTGGAGGCGCCGTAACCGTACCGCCAACTTCGTACAGGGTTGAGGTACCGTTCTTAGGGAAATCGCCGGGCTTGTAGAACTTATCCGCATCCGTGAAACCTAGGTCTTTGCACTTCGTGTCCTTGAGCGTCGAGTCGCAAGACGACCACGCCCAGTTGGGCAGGGAGTTGTATAGATTGGGTAAGTTGGAGGGGAAGAAGACTCCCCACATGTCTGCGCCGGCGAGAGTGGGTTCGGTGTGCGGGCAGATATCCCAGGATCTTTGGTTCGGGGGTTAGTTGGTGCATTGGAAGGAAGGGTCGGAGTTTGGTGTGTTTCACTTACGCGGAGATACTAGCGCTGGCTCCGCAGCAGGCACAGTCCGAGGCGCGGTTGGCAATATCGAGACCGTCGTTTAGTTTTGACAGGTCGGGGACGTTGCCGATGTCTGCGCTGATATTGTCGGTGACGTTGCGCATGCATTTCATCTGCTGGTCGCGCGATGATAGGGTTGTTTGAGTCACCTTGCCGATATCGCAGGAGCAGCGGTTTGGCGCGTTGTCTGGAGCTGGCCAGAAGGGGATTGGCTCTTTGGCGCTGGGGCAGATGGCGAAGTACTGCTGTACGAAGAGCTGGTATTTGCAAGAGTAGACCTGTAGAGCAAACTATTGTTAGCATGGGCTTATGATAGTCATGTACAGGGGATCCTTGGGGGGAAAAGAGTATATAAAACTCATACCTGGTTCCAGCATGACTCTGCCATGCAGTTGATATACTTCTGGTGTGACTCGCAGCCACAGTCTACGACACAGTTACCATTGCCGTTGCAGCCTTGGACGCAGGAACTCCATCTGTCGGCCACATTCCTGTTGCATTTTGAGTAATCGGATGTGGAGGCGCAGTCTTTCTCGGTGATGTTTGTTTGGGCATTGGCTAGGCCAGAGAGCGCCGCGACGGTCGCAGCCGATGCAAGAAGGAATTTAGATAGCATAGTGGATCCTGTTCTCGTCGGAAAGGACTTATCAAAATGGATATATCTGAAAAATGCAGCTCTGCTATGACTTGAGCTTTCAATGACACTACTGCAAACCAAAAAAATCCCAATCGCTGGGGAGGATGCAACAAAGGCTTTATAAGAGGCGAATTATGCAGCACAGCCCAGATTCGTTCGAAACGAAATCTCTTCATGGATGTCGCATCCTCGGGCCCATTAATGGGCTCTGCTGCAAGTTAGGGGTTCAATCATTGTAAATCCAGCTGTCATGTCATCGTTCTCAGTAACCAACCAATGACCGATGATATAGCATACTAAGGTGACACAAAAAAGCAAGCTGAGCCATTTATGATTCAAAAAAAGTGGATGACGACGACCCCAGTTTTTGCATATCTTCTGCATCTATTGCATATAGGCAATCACATTTTCTTTGGCAAAGGGCATTGGATCTTGATAGATCAGAGACCAAATCCGGAACCCGCCCTATGAATTGATCAGATGGACTGCATTGTTCGGGATTTCTAGCAAAGCCCTGCATAAAGCTAGGAGCCTTGCTTCCTTTGCAGACACGAGGTGGAGCGGAGTGTTCCTGCGATCATAGATTTATGAAGACCCTTGCTTGGAGTTGAGCTTTTGATGACGATGCTGGGGTGCTATTATTAAAGCTGGACATGAGTGACATAGTTATTCATACGTAGGACTCCCATGTTGTTTATGCGGTGTGTCAAGAGACATGCATTGGATGTTGTTTTATGCCAGGGTTGGTTTTTCATAGCGCGGGTGCCTAGCACAGCCCAAGCCCTAGGGAACAAACCCTAGGTAATACAGAGTTGAGCTTCGAGATCTTGGAAACACATGATCTAGTAGTCCAGATAGTAATGACGTCTTTCACGGAGACCTGAAACGTCAAGTCGTTCAGCAGATTGACATTTCATCGTAGAGGGGACCTGGTACCTAGTGCCTGTGTGGGTGGTCACGAGTCAGGTACAGGGGCAAGCCAGACAAGCTAAGACTTGATCGATATGATTTTGTATCTTTTGTATGACAAGGACTTTGTCCAAGTATATTTTCCTTAGATACATATGCAACCGCCGTACATGCGGAGATCCCCCCGGAACTTGGATATGTATACAGCGTATGTAGGTAAAATCGCAAGATTAGGAAAATTAAATTAAAATCACCCCAAATCACAGTTACCAGTTACTAGTCAAAACTAGTCAAAGAAACTAGAAGCAGAATGTAAACTCCCAAAATTGTGCTTATCAGAGGTCATATGCCCCCAATCCACCAATCCTGTGGAGAACAGAAAACCCCTACTATGTAAGCAGGGAAATTTGCTTAGTGTTTCGAAGACTCCAAGGCCTTCTCCACCGGTCGATCAGTATTTATGTACTTCGTACTTTCAAGAGGCCCCCTTACCGAGATGATACACTGGGATTTAGTGAATCAGAATAGGTAAGATTTGAACGCTGCCAAGTGCAGTAGACCTAAATAAACCAGTCACTTAGGGTATGTAAGAGATATATAGTTGTCTTAAAGGGACCTTTGAAAACAACATTGACTGTTTTAGCGAGATTAGGCTACAATTAAAAAAGTGGACGCGGGACTATCCAAATTAATTGTTTCCCCACTGTCATTTTGACAGATCGACAGATCTGTTCAGATGAGAAAATATTTAATCAGATAAAAGAGAATACAAAATTATAGAAAGTAGATTGTAAGATGTATACAGTCATTAACGCTGGCCGGGGCACGAAGAATATAAAATCAAATAATAACAAAGCCCGACCGTAGTCAAAGACGGGGATGTTTTGTACAGCTGGACCCCAGAAAAGGGACAGAGGCAATAACACAAATTAATTGGCTGTTTCAAGATACAGCCAATCAGAGAAGTGAAGGGAAGAAAAACATATATATATATCAATAAAACATGTCAACGTGACTTTCGAACAAGGTCTCGTTCGTGACAAAATCTGTATGCATGGTAATTTACAGCATCAGAGCACCGGCAACGATGGCAAGCATGCCACCGGAGACACCGGAGATACGGTTGGCCATACCGGTGTTGGTGGTGGGCACGGCGCTCTGGGAAGCGGCGGTGGAGGTGGCGCTGGTCGAAGTGGACTCAGCAGTGCTGGAGCTCTCCGTGGTCTGGGTAGCGGAGGCGGAGGTGCTAGCGACAGTGCTGGAAGCGGTGGTCAGGGTGGTGGAGCCGGAGGTGATGGCCGAAGAGCTCGAGGTCGAGGTGCTCGAGGTGGTGGTGTCGGTGGCAGAGGTGGATGAGTCAGTGGAAGTGGAGGCAGTGGCGGTGGCCGAGCTAGAAGAGGAAGACGAGACAGAGACGGTGGAGCCGTCGACAGTGAAACGGCCGATGTAGTTGTAGTCGTCGCTATCCTCGTCCGAGACGATCTTAATGGTGTAGTCAGGCTCGGCGGCCAGCTTAGAGGGCACATTCCAAGTGTAGCTGCCGTCGTTGGCGAGGTTCGCTGGTAATGGTTAGTAGTGTTTCGGGGAATATTGAGTCATTCTGAGGTATCGCTTACAGGCAATGACAGTGCCGGTGTTGCCGGTAAGAACGGCTCCCCACTGCAAAATCAGGCTCACAGTGCCTTGGGTGGTGGGCTCCCATTTCAGGGCAGTAGGCTCGCCAGTCGTGAAGGTGTAACCATCAACGGGGATGCTAAAGGGGTTAGCCTTGCTATCCGCCGAGGCGATGGCGGCGATGGCGGCGACAGCGAGGGTGGTGAAGAAGCGCATTATGATTGATATATATTTATAAAGTTGGGAATAATGATAGAATGTCCAAGTGAGAGATTCAGATAAAAGAGTGAAATCGCAAAAGCCTCAAAAGGAGTGGAAGGCGTTGTTTAAATGGCAAATCTGGAAGAAAACGCCGGACATCCGGGATCCTTAGCGTTCGCTTTATAACTAATGAAGGAATGTGCCCCATGGAATAAGGAGCTAGGCACAGCCCAGCAGAGTCAAAGGGACGAAGAAAAACAAATACAAAAGGAAGCAAGGCGAGTGATTGGCCATTGTTCATCTCGGAGAGGGCCCGCGAGGGCCCGAGAGGAGCGAAAAGAGGGAAAAAAAGGGAAAAACAAAAGCGTGGCGGTGATCCACGAGTCCTTTGAACCACTAACGGCCTTCATTGTCTCGCTTGGCAGGGAATCGCCTCTTTTAACTGGTTTGAACTCGACGTGACCTTAAATGACTATACCCACTTTGGTCGGCTATAGTCACTCGGACTCCGTAGTTAACTTGCTATTTTAGAAGAAACACGAGATTTCACGGTCTTTTGGGAGATAAATTTAAATCTCATTATTGGTTAAAAGGTTTATTGGCTAAAAAGCAAGGACAATTACACCATATGGAGTACATCTCGAAAGAGTTTGAATTCTTTTGGTTTCTCTCTTCAATTCTCTCTTTGTCGCGTACCTACATATTATCGGAGCCACGCGACTGAGGTTCGGTTATTCGTCCAAGTTAAAAATCAGGCCAAAGCCCCCCCCTACGCCTCCGAGCTATGACCTTTTTTTTCACTTCCTTGCGCATGAATGTTTCGTATGTTGTAGTTCGTCCAGTTCTGACGCTAATTCATTGGGGTATCATGTGGGGCAAGTCGGCATTCCTCAATCCGCCAACATATTGTTCTGACCTAGCCAGGAGATCACTTCCATTGCCCGGCGGTCATCGTCTTGCTTCTGTCGGTCGAGCAACTAATCTATGTCAGTACTATTTCAATAGGAGCTGCAAAATCAATAAATGGGCGACTCACAGCTTGATAAAGTCCTTTGCGTTTCGTTTCTTTCTCTTTCTTTTCCGTAGGCTTTACCTTGACCTTCGAGATTCGTTCAGAGTCATTCTCATGAAGGAACTTACACTGGTCACCACGGTTGCAGTGCCCATTACGTGCAAAATAACGGCAGACGGTCTTTTTGCCTTCGCGGGGTGGAGGCGGCACTCGCTCTGGTCCCGTGCGACGTGAAGTTGCTTGCTCTGGCGCGGAGTCGTCACTGCCAGAGTCGGAGTCGGAATCTGAGCCAGAAGCACTCGAGGAGGTCCAATCACTAGCCCCATGATCAGATGCGAGCTCCATGTCATCCAAGCCATGGTTGGTGGGGTGCTCGGTCTTGATTGTGTGCTCCTCGTGGGACTCGGGCAAGACCTCGGGTTCTCCTTGCGCCTCTATCGCATGAGCAGCGGACACGGCTGATTGAGCGGGCTCTGGAATGGGGTTGTGAGGCTCGGCTTTTATTGTTGCAGCTGGCGCCGTGATTACGGATTCAGCCGTAATAGCTGGCTCGGGTACCGCGTTTTCGGGTTCGATCTTGAGGACTGGCTCTGGCTCTGGCACCGCGTTTGTAGGTTCGGTTTTGATAATTGGGGCCGGGGCTGGGTGTGGGTGCCCAGGTGTGATACCCGTGTCTTCGTCTTGGGAGTCTGCATTTAGGCTCAATGCCTCCTTCTGTAGAGCTTCCATTCGGAGACGAGCAGCTTCGGTCTCAGCCATGGCCTTTTGGATTCGTTTCTCTTCTCGTTCAAGGTTGCGCCGAATCTTCTCCCTACGCTGGGCGTTCGTTGTCGTATCTGCAGTGGGGTCTGTCTTGTGTTCGTTTTGCTTTTGTACATGCTCTTTTCGCTTTTCCTGTTGCTCTTTTTGCTTTTGTTGACGGGTGGCCTCGCGGGCTACCTTTGCCTCCTCCATCGACTTCTTCTTTTCTTCAACCCGAGCTTGAGTGGGGAACTTCTTCCTCCGCTCTGCAATCCAAGCGGCAATATCGGATGGTGTTTGCAATGTAGATGTTTTCCCTTTGTATGAGACCTGAAGTGGTGCTGCGTCAGATCCACTTTGGGCCAGCTTCGATTCTTCATCTTCATCAACGTCTTCTTCGCTTGACTCATGGTCCTCCGTATTAGGGGTCAGTCCAAGTTGGTTGTGCTTCCTTTTTCTCTTCTTTGCCTTTCTGTTGGCCGTGGAGTCTGCTGGGGGTGGCGGCTTCGAAGGCAGAGGGTTGCCGAAGCTTGGGACGGCAGGCGCAGCGGGAGTCCGAGGTGCGGTTGATTGTGGTTTGTTGAATGCAGATGAGTGATCTCGTTTCTGTGTATACTTGGGTTTCGGACCCTGGTTGCCATGCGCATGAGGAGGTCGTGGCCCTCGTGATTGCCCCGGTTGAGCTCCAATGTATGGCGCCGGACTTTGCATCTCATTGCGCCATGACATGGGTGGCATCACTGTTTGATTGTTTGGTTGATGGCCATGGGGAGGTCCTGGTAAGCCTTGCATGTACGTCGGAGTTGTGGGAGGGTATGTAGGCAGGTTGGGCGTATTGTATTGTTGATAGTTCCCCGGAGCTACCGACTGGGGATATTGTTGAGGTGGAAATGGGGGTAGGTGTTGAGCATTCTGAAAGGCCGGCGTTTGTGCATGATGGTAGGGTTGGGGAGGCATATAAGGTGCTGTGGGAAGAGGTTGAGGATATCCGGCATACATTGGTTGCGTGTAGTTGAAACCTGTAGGGGGAAGATATGATGGCGCTCGTCCACTATCTGCGTGGTTTCCTCCTCGGCCTCGATTGCCCTGTCCTCTTCCACGCCCCCTCTGACCTCCACCATGTCCACCGCGTCCACCCCAATTCTGTCCATGTTGGGGTGGGTGATGAGCCGGCGCCTGGTTAGTTGCTGGCGGCGGAGGCGGAGGAGGTGGGAAAGAAAATCCCTGCGAGCTCATGACGAGAGCCTTTAGTTTTGCTGGAGACTCCAGCACAAACACAGGAATAACCTCGTAAAATTAGCACATTAGCGGAGTCGAGATTGAGATTGAAAGCTTCCGTTCCGGGGTCACGTGCAGGCGGAATTCTAGGCGGAGCACGAATAATCTCAAAAGGGTTTTTGATTGCTTCATTGACAATGGGAAAACGGGAAAAGATATTTACACCGTTTCACTTCGTCCCTGTCTAGCCAGATCAAGCTTCTGGTTGCTCCTTCCCTGCCGTCACCATGTTTATCCTAGTAAGTTTGACGCCCATATATAAAATCTTTTTTTCTGACACCCGCAGACCACCATATCGGATTTGATTCAGATTTCACCTGAGGATTTCTCCAAGTTCAGTGCAGTTGCACTTGAAGACAACATCAATGCAAAATATGCCAATAAAGTGTGCAATTCAAGCTTCTTCTGAATTATTAATGCTTATTCTGCCCTCTAGGTCATTCAAAAAATTGGCCTCTGCATCAGCTTCTATGACCTACTTGAATCTTCTGATGGCCTGATTGGCCATGGAACCGGGTTGGTTAATGTCAACGGTAAATGATCCCAGCCCTTTCTCAAGTCTGAGATTTTTACTGACCATCATATAGTTAAATTTCGCATGATTGTGTTCCGACCCTTCAAAGGGGAGATCATGCTGGGAAAGATCTCCAGCGGCACAGAACATGGTATCAAGAGTGCGTTTCGAACACCATCACTCAGCGTGTCCCAAAAACTAACGAATTTCAGTTGGCCTTGAATTCTTTAATGACATTCTGATCCCACCGCAAATGCTTATGGAGAAATCCCGATTGTGAGCTAGTCCCCGCCTCATGTCGAATCTAACATACTAATGTGTTTTGCAGCGACTATGCCGAGCAGGTGTGGATCTGGGAGAGTGAAGGTGGAACGGAATTCTTCTTCGATGTAGGAGAAGTTGTACGATTCCGAGTCGAATCAGAAGAGTGGCACGACCAAATCCCGAACGCACCAGATGTTGCAGATGAAACTCCCCAGGAGAGGCGCCCTCCGTACTCTATTCTTGTAGGACTCACCATATCCATTTTTCTATCTCTCACTGACGATCTTCTAGGGCTCGATGCAAATGGGTGGAACGGGACCCATCACTTGGTGGTAGGCTGCTGCTGCCACCAAACTGCCATTTGATGTCACATTAGACTGTCTTCTTGTTCGCCTATTGCGGCCCGTTCTCAGCGCCCATAAAATTTCCTTTAGAGTCAGATCAGATACCCATACGAATCAATGCCAATGAATATATAGAGACCTGAGTGTCCATATTGTAATGAGCCTAGCTGAAAACGTAAAACGGCTCGATAGGAGATACACGTAGGTAAAGAGGTGTCTTAAATTTAGTGTAAACAAACCCCCACATCTACCCTTTTCCTCCAAACATAATCGACAGACATAATAAAAGACACGATGTTCAGAGATGTGTAGTACATATTACCAATTAGGAGATGTGCAATGCGGCAAGTTCCGAACACTCCGACACTCCGACTCATCGGAGTGTCCAACTGATTCTCCGAGTAAAATTGCCGGCCGCCGGTGGAGCTCCGTCGGTCTCTCGTCCAGTCGCAATCGCGCGATCCATCGTCATCTGCGCCCCAGAGGTTGGTAGTATGTAAAAGATTGTCTTGACGAATTTTTTTTTTTCGGTTCAATTTTTCAGCACAAAAACATCCAAAAGCAGACATTGAATTTGTATTTCGCCATCGCCCTTGATTATCAATCAAATTCGCAATCCGAGTCTCATTCCGGTTTCAGACAGCCCTGGAGTCATACAAAGAAGCGGTGATCTCACCTTATCGATAAACATATAACTTACCCTTCGCCTCTCTCAATTGCCTTCAAATCACCTATTCTATACACAATGGGCTCCATGGAAAACGGACACACTACTAGCCGCGGCTTTGGGACACTCGCTGTCCACGCTGGCTCGCCTCATGACCCGGTGACCGGCGCTGTTATCGCTCCGGTAAGCTTATCAATATAGGGAGAACACCTGGGCACAAAGGCGGTATTAACAATGCCTTAACTAGATCTCTCTGTCGACCACATATGCTCAGACCAGCGTCGGAACCCCCGTTGGTCTTTACGAGTACACACGGAGCTCCAACCCCAACCGGTTAGTTTGTTGGTCCAAAAATTATTGACTAGGTGGACTAATCCCCCCCGCAGTGATAACTTCGAGCAAGCCGTCGCAGCCCTCGAGCACGCCAAGTACGCTCTTGCCTTTTCTTCCGGCTCCGCCGCTACTGCAAATATCCTCCAATCCCTTGCTGCTGGCTCGCACGTCGTTTCGGTCTCCGATGTTTACGGCGGTACTCACCGATACTTCACCAAGGTTGCTTCGGCGCACGGTGTCCACGTCACCTTCACCCCCTCCATTGAGGTGGATGTGGAGCAATTGATCCGCCCCGAGACTAAGCTTATTTGGATCGAGACCCCCTCCAACCCGACTCTTGGCTTGGTGGATATCCGAGCTGTTGCCGACATTGCCCACCAGCACGGCATTCAGGTTGTTGTCGATAACACTTTCATGAGCCCCTACGTCCAGAACCCATTGGACCACGGTGCCGACATTGTTGTTCACTCCGTGACCAAGTACATTAATGGCCACTCCGTGAGTTCTTACTCAATTTAGACTTTGTCAGTATCGATTTAGCTAACTCTGAATTAGGATGTCCTGATGGGTGTGGCTGCCTTCAGCTCCGAGGCCCTCAAGGAGCGCCTCGGATTCCTTCAAAACGCCATTGGCGCTGTCCCCTCCGCATTCGACTGCTGGCTCGCTCACCGCGGTCTGAAGACCTTGCACCTGCGCGCCCGCGAGGCGTCCAAGAACGCCACTGTCATCGCTAAGGCCCTTGAGTCGTCTCCCCACGTCCTCTCTGTCAACTACCCCGGCATTGACTCCCACCCCCACCGTGCTATTGCCCTCAAGCAGCACCGTGATGGTATGGGTGGTGGTATGCTCAGCTTCCGCATTAAGGGTGGCCAGCAGGCTGCACACGATTTCTGCAAGTTCACTAAGGTTTTCACCCTTGCTGAGAGCTTGGGAGGTGTCGAGAGTCTGTGCGAGGTGCCCTCCAGCATGACCCATGCTGGTATCCCCAAGGACCAGCGTGAGGCCGCCGGTGTCTTCGATGATCTTGTGCGCCTCAGCTGTGGTATCGAGGACTCTGTGGATCTCCACGCCGATGTGCTGCAGGCTCTCAGCTTGGCTGCTGCTGCCCAGAAGGCTTAAACAGCTCTTATTTTACAGCTCATTGTCTTTGGCTTGCATTCAAATATTAGAATAGACAGCGTCAGTTTCTAATCACTTGGATATGAAATTATGAATTATAGAATCACAAAATCATATATTTATATTTACAATTATCCTAGCCCAATCCTAGGGCTTTAAAATAACATTTGAATACATCATCTCCACGGCTGTATACTAATATGCTGCCTGAGGCAGTTTAAAGCTTAGTCATCATATCACCCACTGCAATTTTTTGTATGGAGATCAGATCGCGGCGTCTGTGAAAAGAAAGCCTTGGAACTGAAGTACTGCGTAATCATTTGGTCCTTGCCCTTGGATAACCCATTTTTTTGCGAATCTATTGCAAGTTTGTCGGCAACCTGCAATCCCGACAAATTCTTATCGTCTGCAACATTGGGGCCACTTCAGACAACCCACCTGCACATTCCTAGGTGTCTTAGAAGAGAAGACAATCATCCTATCCAATAATGGCCTTCAGCTTCGGATTCTCCGGGGATGATATCGACATTGATGATGCGGAGATCAATAATGACTTCTCCAATGTGTCCCCCCAGCAAGCAGTGGGCAATTCTCTTCCCGAGCTTGTGAAAGCGGTTAAACATGATATGAATGAATGGGTAAGTGATCAAGCGAGATGTTTCATTGTCAATTATGTGTAATACGCTACTGCTCTCGTCATGAATATTTTGAGCTGGCAAGTATATTCTAGATTCCAATTTGGGCCTATGAGATACTGCCCTCAACCATTGACAAGAGCATGAAAGCATGAAAGCATGTGTTCATTACTTTGAAGCGCATGATACCCTTTCAACAAAACCCCAAACTAACCAATATGACAGCTTTCAATTCTTCCCTCTCAAATCTTCTACAATAAGCTTGCAATCAGCGATACGCCTCTGGCCGTCGCTCGTCGAGAGATCTTTGACATTCGCACCCAGCTTATGGCTGAAGACAGTGCCGGCCATGATAATGAAGAGCTTATTGCCGGTATTGAAAAAGGAGACATCACACCCAATTTCTATGAAGGCGGCTTCAAAACCTGGGAATGTGCCTTGGATCTAGCTAAGCTCTCCGTCAATGAGGACATTCTAAATGAATCCTCCGATAGCCCAGCAGACATCCATATAATTGAGGTTCGTAACCAATAAGCTTTCACCAACATTTACTTGGGGTAGGAAGGCTAACATGAATAAACAGCTTGGCGCAGGCACAGCAGTCCCATCATTGACACTGTTCGCCCGTCTTCTCAGCGAAGCCGAGCCTGGCCAGAGCCAAAGAAAGACCCTCTTTACCTTTGCAGACTACAACTCGGACGTCCTCCGTCTTGTCACGCTCCCGAATCTCCTTCTGACATGGCACAATAGCCGCTCCCAAACAGCTGTTTCAGCCACGTCAACTGCATCAGACCAGGACGAAGAGCTAGATATCACGCCTGAACTCGTTCAAGAATTCAAAGATGATCTTGCTCGGCGTGGGATCTCGGTTGATTTCGTTTCAGGTGCTTGGTCGCCCGAGTTTGTGGATCTAGTCTTCTCGTCCGGCGATGGCGCCCGTAAGACTCTGGTTCTTGCTAGTGAGACCATTTACTCGCCCGCATCGCTGGCTGCATTTTCCGAGACGCTTTTGGCGCTGCTGCGCCGCTCGAACACTGTATCGGCGAGAAGTCGGGCTCTCGTCGCGGCCAAGAAGGTTTATTTCGGAGTTGGCGGCGGTGTTGATGAGTTCCTTGCTGTGCTGGGCAATGTGTGTGCCAGTGAGCTGGACGTGCAACAGAAATTGAACGTTCAATCCGAGGGTGTGGGCAGAGTAGTTTTGGAGGTTGTGCCGTCAAATGGGCCCTAAAGAAAATTCGATAATGAAATGAATATCCAATCTCAGCATCCAAGGAACATTGCAACGGGGATCTAGGAGTTGGGTTCAAAAACAAAAGAAAATCCAATTATCAGGTGCTGGATTGAACGTCAAGTCCCAACGTATATGTACATGATTTTTTCTCCACACATGTCTATTTCAGACAGTCGACCAAAAGAAAAAAGATACCCCCATTTAGTCGTAGAGCGACACAACCTTGCCGTCCTTCATCCGCGCGACCCGAGACTCCTCAGCCTCCTGGTTCTTGCGCTGGTAGTGAGCCACGACATGGCTCAGGTCGGCCTGCGAACCGGGCGAAACGTTGTACGGAGAGCCGGCGTTCATCATACTAGAAAGGGGGGAAAAAAAGCACAATTAGCACAACGAGAAAGAGCGGTATTTCCGGAGCAACCAGATCACATACTCGGGCTGTCTAAGGGCAAAAGCCTCGGCGGGGCCCTGACTGCCGAGCAAGTGGCGGTCAGAAGCAGCCTTCTCCATGATAGCGGTGTGGATAGCATTGCGTTGCTCGAAGACCTCCTCGGAAGGAGTCCACTTGCTAATGAGGTTGGAGATCCAAGACGGGGAACCGGATTCCTCGTTGGACTTGCTAACGTGGTAGAGGGCGAAGGCGGAGGCGATGGAGCCGCAGGTGACGTAGAAGCTGCGCTGTTAAGTGGACATGAAGAGTTAGCTAGGTGGTCGTGAGCAATTGAGGCATTTCTCGCCCTGCTTCCTGACTCGGGTCTGGTCGCGGTCGGCGGGGGAGAGGAGCTTACGCCGAAGCTTTCGTTCACGGGCTCGTGGGCGGCGTGGGAGCCCCAGCGGCGCTGGGTGCGCAGCAGCTGCCGCGTCAAAGGAGCAGATCGTCTGGCAGCGAACATTGTGTGGAGGGAAGCAATTGGTGATGATCGATGACCCTTTGGGGAGCGATGATAGGGCGAGGTGGAAAGTGAAAGTCTATGGCACGTGATGTCTGTATTGGGTTTAGGGGCATTCTC